TTTTTAATTGTACTTTTAAGCACAAACAGTTCTTTTAAGAACTAAATTTTCGAGTTTTTATATTGCATTTCTTGAAATTGTGTGGGGAAAATATGCCGAAGCATTTAAACAGTCGAAGCAAAGAGCTGGTAGCTTTCCTGATAAACTATTTTGAACAAGAACGTGACAATAAAGGTCCTTTATTACCCTTGACTGCAGTCAGAGAAGTATATTCGATTGATAAGCGCATTATACCACTTTCAAATTTAGTTTTTATTAAATTCTGTGATTATTAGTTTGTGCCTTAATAGCACCCTCTTAATTGTTATTATCACTTATGGCGTTGTAAGATTTACATCAATAAATAAATAACCCATAATAACGCTTAGAATAATCTTCATAATGGACTAGTTTTTGCCAATATGTAATAAGTAAAATAAGCTATAAAACAAATAAATCAATTAAGTACTAAAATATTAGTTATTAAATTAAAAATAAAACGTAAAACTCTTCAAAAAATATATATTAATTATATTGTTTATCTGTTTTAAATTAAGATTCATCTCATAAATCCATCACAATCTGGCAGCGCTGTCGCCATCGCTTGTCACTCAAAGTTGATCACGTGCATCGGATATTGTTTTGCGATTACCATATTTGAAATTATTAGTAATAAGTTCTACGTTTCTTATAAATTTAAAAGGCAAAATGTTGCTTTATATTGGCTTGTCATATTGTTCCATCATTACAAGCCAAAACTTGTAAATTTTCAAGATAAAGAAAAGTCAAAAAGTGACGCCAATGAATTGACATTAATTTGTTAAAAAAATAGCATCAATACCAATCACTAATCCTAAAATCCTCTAATACAGTACTGCCATCTATTTCAATCATTTTTGATCGCTCCGTATATTATTTCGTCCCATTGCTGCCAAAAGTCACTAACTTACTTTTTATTACTTCCCGAGAAAAATGCGTCTAAAGATGAATTGCATTGCATAAAGATGTTATAGGTAGTAACTATTCAGTATTAAAATAAAACATAAATAGGGCCAGAAATCGTAGTTAATGACATTTGCAATCGATTCTCTGGTTCAAAACATGATTTGTGATTGAATTTGGTTGTTCGGAAAAATGTTAGTTAGTGACTTTTGGCAGCAATAGGACGATTTGTACTGTCACTATGTAGGCGTTGCTTTTTCGCACACTGCATTTAATGTTAATTTTCCTTTAAATAACTTTGTTTGTGTAATTTAAGTTGTGGATTAACTGTGTTAATATAATTTAAGCTAATACTAATAAGTCTGGGAAGATTTCGACAGATGACATGTAAAAATGAGAGTAAATTTAATTTGCCTGTTAATTAAAATGACAGACATAAATGTCACTGTCGGGTATCTTCCTGTTGGACGGACTATAATTCATATAATGTTGTATAAGTTTTCTAATTTTAACATAGAAATATTAAGTAACCATGTTATTAAGTTTGTAACTTCTTATCCTAAAGGGTTGTTCACCACATACGACACAGAGTATTGTAGTTAAACGATCAGATTTTTACAAGTTGTAAGTTTTGGGTTCGTTGAAGGACCATCAGAGCTACAATTTAAAAATATATTTACAAGATACAGAGTGTCCCAAATAAGTAAAAAATATTATAGTTGTATTTTTTAAACGGAACACCCTGTATATTATTCTATTTTTGGATTCTACGATTGAAATAAAGGTAAATTTGGTTAAGGTTTATCATACTTAAACCTTACCGTTTGTGAAATTGCAGTAAAAATTTTAAGGCTTCATTTCTCCAAGGGTATCAAATTTTTTAATACTAAATATTTACTGAAGTTTATTTATTAATCAGATATTGTGTTGCAATAACAAACAAAATACTATCTTATACAGAATGTCTAAAAATTTATATTAAATAATTACTAGCTTTAAATGGCAATAACTTGTTTAATTTAAATGGAATACCCTGTATATTTTACGAGAATCAGATGCACAATACCATTTTTACTTATCTCTTCATGTTTTCGTAGAAAATACATTTTCTTATAATTTAGACCTCATTTATCACCATGGAATATTGACATTTTAGATTGTTTTTACAGAAAAAATAAAACAAATTGTTTAAAGAGAGTTTTGTAGAGGACCAATTAATATGACCCCAGTATTCAAACTACATTAATTGACTGTTTACGTTGATTAATAATAATTGCTCTTAATACTAAAAAACTGAATTTTGTATATGTATTGTCTAATATAAATAAAAAACATTATTGTCTAATACATACACTGTCTGTGTGGTAAAAAGTAACACCTTATAAATTTTATTTCATTTTTTGACGAATGCTTATTTATAACAACAGAGACATTCATTTTCATAACTTATTATTATAATAATTTCTGAGTCAAATCCACATTTTCATTTAATAGAATATTTGTTAATTAAAAAATAAATTAAGTATGTAATTAACTAATTTTTGGGCAGAAATAATGGTGGAATATTTAATTCGTATACTCTTTTACAAAGATTTAAATAGTTTTCTTTTTGAAAACAAATGGGCTTGCAATAATAGTATTTTTACCACCTGTACATTTTGTTAGTAGTGGGAACTATCGAATGAATACTATCGAAACATTCGATAGTTGCAATTCATTCGAATAATTCGATAGTTAGTAAGAAAACATTCGTTGAAAACTATTCGAATAAAAATTATTGAATAGATCCGTCATCTGCCTTGAAATATTGTATTCTAGTAATTCGGCAGCAAAAACCATTCATTTATAAAATTCATTCATTTATGAAATTCATTTATTCGTCAGGATCGATATAATAAAATATTAACTGAATTTTAGTTGTCGCCCGGCGACGTAGGTTTCTTTCCGAGAAACCCGACAGCAGTCGGTGGCAATGCTATGAAAGAAGCCGGCATCTTTGATTTTTTGCGGAGTCAGATATAGATAAGGACACATTATTTTTTTTATTGAGGTGCTAGTATTTACACAGAAAATACATTATGAAGGGCGCTGTTGCCATATTTTGGCATTAGTTGATATTAGCAAAGAATATTATTGTTTGGCTTTAGTTAGTTAGGGATAGTATGTCTATATATTCTGCATTTTTTTTTATTAATATTCTGTTGTTACACTGCAATAATACTTGTTATTTTGGATGTAAGAACATGAAAGTGATTTTTAATGTTTTTAAGCAAAGACTGGTTTAATAAATAATAATAACAGTAATAATTTGTTATACCTATTAACAACAAAATTTAAAATGATTTAATATCAATATTTTTTTAAGTAGTAGCAAAATATAAACAACAAATTAGATGTCAAAATTATTTATATTAGATCCTATTTAAAAATAATATAGTCTTTAAATTTTTTGGCAACGTTGGTTTGTTAAATAATAATAATTACAGAACTAATTTGTTATATTAACAACAAATTTTAAAATCATGAAATATAAACATTTATTAATTTTCTAAGCATGCAGTGTAATGGAACGAAAATATAAATAAAAAATTAGAAATCAAAATTATTTATATTAGGTGCTTTATATCTCTATTTAAAAATTATATTAATTAATTATATTACTTTTACTGGCATTTACTTTAAAAAATAAATGAAATATTTCTTCGCAAAAAACTACATGTAAGAGAATTAGCATAAACAAAATACAAACATCGTTAACTTTTTTTTAAAATTGGCACGTGTAAAACTTTCATTTTAATTTTCTCACCCCATAGTTTGAGTTCGATAACCATTTACTTAACCACATTACTTAAATATGATTATTAAGTTCAACTAATTCATATTATTAAAACATCTAAAATACAAATATGTATTTTTAAAATTAATTGTAAGTTCATCTCATCTCTCTTAAAAATTGCTACTTCTCAAAATTTCCCATTAAAAAATAGACCATATACCATATAAAATTAAATAATTGAAAGATCGGACTACGGAAAACCACACAAATTTTCGGAAAAATTTTGACCACCTGCACATGCACACAATCGTCAATAAATAAAATTAAAAAATAACTACTATTTTAGTATTTTAACTATTTGAATAAACGCAAAAATAGCACAGTATTTATACGGCGAAGTTATAAAAATTTGGAAGAACTAATAATGCACTGACGCATACAAAAATCAAACGAATACTAAATTTCATTTATCTTTATCAAAAGCATTCGATAGTCGTGGCTCAACGATAACCATTTAGTCGCACGGCGAGGTTGTCACATATGCTTTAGTATACAAATGAATGAATGATTTTATTCGAATAAAACCATTCGATAGTTGAAATCATTCATTCATTAACCATTCGATAGTCTAATTCATTCGATAGTTCCCATCGCTACATTTTGTACATATGTTGCTTTAAAAAAATCTAAAATGTCAATATTCCATGGGTATTGTGATAAATGAGGTCTAAATTATCAGAAAATACACTTTCTAGGAAAACTTGAAGAGAGAGGTAGAAAATGGTATAATACAATTTGATAGACAATTTAATTCTGCATCTGATTCACGTAAAATATACAGGGTGTTCTATTTAAATTAAACAAGTTATTGCCGTTTAAAGCTGGTAATTATTTAACATCAATTTTTGGACACTCTATACAAGGTAGTATAATTTTTATTATTGCAACACAATGTCTGATCAATACATAATCTTCAGTAAATATTTAGTCTTAAAAAGACTAAATATTCTTCTTCTACCCTTAGAGAAATAAAGCCTTAAATTTTTTACTGCAATTTCACAAAATTAATTAAGGTGATAAACCTTAATCAAATTTACCTTTATTTCAATAGTAAAATCTAAAAATAGAATAATATACAGGGTGTTCCATTTAAAAAAATATAACTATAATATATTTTACTTATTTGGGACCCTCTGAATCTTGTAAAATTATTTTTAAATTGTAGCTCTAATAGTCCTTTAACGAACCCAAAATTTACACTTTGTAATAATCTAATAGTTTAGCTAGAATACTCCGTGTCGTATGTGGTGAACAACCCTGTATATAATAACTAAAAAAAATAAAAAATAGAATCCACGCAGACAAGTTTTTCAGTCGTTTTTCCTTGCTCTGTTTATATCGCGATAACATGTTTGTTGTAAATAATAGACAAATATGTAGTAATAATTATACAATGTGTTATGTTTATAATGTTGTTCTGCTAACTGTTTTGGAAGCTGATGTTTTAGAGTCTATGTTTTAATACCGCTTTATATTTTAGCCTTAATCTTGACGAGTTATCCAAGATATTTCCCACCGCTCCCGGCTTGGATAACGACCTAGGAAGCGTTGGCATGACTCTGGATACGTTGGATAAGGAAATATCCGGATCTATCGAGTTTTCGGAGTTCTATGCTAACTTACATAAACCCCGAGGTAAGTCAAATTAATTAATCACAATTATTAGACATTTTACATCAGCCATTGCTTGATTTTAAAATTGAAATTTTTAAATTGAACCAGAACCAAATTTAATAAAGTCTACTTTGTAAAATTAGAACTTAAGTATCTTGGGTAAGGAAGATTCAATATAATTTATCAGATTTGAAATAAATACTGTCCTAAGGGTAGTTTACTCTTGACTCAAAAAATATCAAACCCCATTCAAACGTACGTCTATGAGGTATCGCATTTCTTACCCTGGGCAAAATGTAGGTCTTATAGCCATACAGCCTCCTGCCAAAAATGAAAAAGATCGTTCAACAAACAACCAAGATATTGGCTTGTATCCATCTTAAGTGGAACACCCTGTATGTATGCAATCATGTCGCCAATATCAAAAACTATATATACAATAGTAAAATTATTTGTTTATTTCTAGAAGAAAGCGGGGAGATCACTCCAATATCCTACGGCTCGGAAATGGATTTTAATACGAACGAAGCCACAGCCGGCTCATCCTCGGCGCTAGAATTCGATTTCACCCTCACCGAAGACCTGGACAAAGAAGACAACTCTGACACCCTAACCAGTCAGGCTTCAAAGTCCTTTATCGACAACTGCAACGCACTAAGAACAAGTTTGACCGAGAGCGGCAGTTCTGGTTCTATCACCCCTAAAGTTATATCACCCTCAACAGCTAATATCAGCGTTTACAATAACATTCTTCGATCAAACGATTACTACAACATGAAACCTATTTCTAACATCAAAAGAGCCCACTCCCTTTACACCAAGACCAGTGACATGAACCCATCAGACCTTAAAAACTTAGTGATGGACTTCTAGTAAATTGAAAAGACGTATCTAGTACAAACACAAACGTCAACATAGCTAACGTGGGTTGCCTGAAATGGAGCACAAGCAAAGGAGAAGTTTTTCGACATCACCAAAGACAACAAAACCGTGAAAATATTGACTTTGGAAAGAATTTAAACACTGGCGCTACCAAGAAATTAGAAAAAGATACGGATCTATTGACCAAACTCACGCCAGGCACTATTTTGGTTAAAGAGACCTACATAGAACCGCCTAAGATATCTAGGTGTCGAGGAGTTTTCATGGTAAATCTCCCACCAGTAAATAGTTATTTAGATATTTGTGGGGTTCCCAGAAGGGCTAGCGATATTCCGTTTAGTAGTAGAACGCAAAACGAGGCGACTGGGGGTTTTAGTAAACTAGAGGGAGTGTTCATAGGGAAGGGTACAGAAGCAGGAATGAGAAATAGACCGCAGTTTTTGACGCAGATGTCACAGCCTTGTGGAGAGAGTTCCAGAGTATCGGGGACTATGCCGAGGAAAACATCATTGACGACTGAATCGGTAAGGCTACAATTTTAGTTTTGTAAAAGTGAAATTGTTTTTTATTATACAGGGTGGTCCGAACTGTAGTATTCCGAAACTTCGGCAGCATATTCTGCAGATAAATATATAAAAAAGTTAAAATAAATATATGTCCTAAAAACGCTTAGTTTCTGGAGATACAGGGTGTAGAAGTTTCATTTTATTTCAATTTTTTCAAATAATTTCTAAAGTAATGTCAATATCTGGTTGAAAATTGGTGTCTAGAAATCCCATGAGAAATTTGATTTTGATGTCAATATGACTCCTATTTGTAGGGGCGCCACCTACAAGTTGACATGTTTAATTTATGTCAGTGATGACAGGTATTGATAATTTCGATTCCAAATATCTCGAGAACCATTACAGCGATTTTACTAAGAGCCGTTTTTACGTAAAAACGTCGTAAATGTATATTTTTTTACCAGCAGTTTTTATACAGGTACGGACGAAAAGTTATTAATCTTCAAACCAGTTAAAAAAATTGTAGGTGGCGCCTCGACAAGTCATAGGAATTCAAAAAATTGGCTTCAAAATCAAATTTCTCATGCCAAAAACTCCCAGACACCAATTTTCATCCAAATATTGACGTTACTTCAGAAATTATATGGAAAAATCGAAATAAAAATGAAACTTCTACACCCTGTACCTCCGAAACTAAGCATTTTAGGACATACATTTATACGAACTTTTTTTACTTATTTTTATCTGCAGAATATGCTGCCGAAGTTTCCGGAATACAGTTCGACCACCCTGTATATAGTGAAAGCTTTTTAGGTTCCGTACCCAAATGGAAAAAAACGGGAACCCTATTACTAAGAGTTTGCCGTCCGTCCGTCCGTCCGTCTGTCACAAAGGTCTATCTTATAAACCGTTATAGCTAGACAGTTGAAATTTTTACAAATAATATATCTATGTTGCCGCTATAAGAACAAATACTAAAAATAGAATTAAATAAATGTTTATAAATAAAAAAGTACTTTCACTAAACATTATCTTTTAAGTAAGAATTTTATATAGAATCTTACAAGTCCTCGGTGACCGCGTGGTTTAAAGTGTTAGGACTTTACGCTGCTATGACGTTGGAGCCGTAGTAGGGCAGGTTCGAATCCTAGTCAAGGCGACTTTTTTTTAATGTTTTTTTTTTAATTTTTACATATTTATTTTTACTTTTTACATATTTATTATTGATTAATACAATTTTTAGTAATGTGTTTCTTCATTTTTTTTTAAATTACTTATAAGCGCATTCAAAATTTCAGCTAAATCGGAAAAAAAGTTTATAATAATATAGTGAATAATGAATGGTACGGAACCCTTCGTGCGCGAGTCCGACTCGCACTTGGCCAATTTTTTCTAAATATTTTTAAGAATTAATTTATATTTTGGTGGTGCCCGGTGGCGTAGAGGTACAGGCTCTCGTCTACCAATCTCAAGGTAGTGGGTTCGATTCCCACAGCCGGCATTGCATCAGGCGACTTTTTATTAAAATAAAAATAGTTTGGGTACCTAAGCCGACTCAGCTTTAAACGAGGGGTGTCTCACTATTGGAATTACATGTACATTTTCTTGGCAGTCGCTGGCAGTCATTGGCAGTCTTATGGCAGTCACTTATAATAATTACATGGCAGTCATAGGCAGTCTTCTTCATAGTCATTGGCAGTCGCTTAGCAGTGGAAGGATATTTTGGCAGTACGTGTACATTTTTTACCCGAGTGAGACACCGCTCGGCTTTAAATGAGTACTTGGGATTCACAATCCTGAGGTAATAATAGGCGGTTAAAGCGTAGTGCTAGCCACATTACCTTCCTTGTATACCGAACGGCTCTAGTATGGCAAGCTGTACCTTGCTTCTCCCAAGGCGTTAAACGCTATATACGGGAGCTATTATTATATAATTTATATTTTGACAGGCCAGCAAGCATCCCCGTTTCACAACTACAAAAGTGGACGAAGCAGAACACGCAGCTTCTATCGGTTTGAACAATAATTGGCCCAGGAAGAGCAAGAACAGTAAGGAACAGAATTCGGAAAATGCAAATAAGGATAAAAATTTTGATTTTAGAGATGATTAGTATTAGTTACTGCTGAATTCCTAATAGCTTTAACCGATTTTGTTCATTAAAAATGTTATATTGTTACAGACAGTACTTTTGATTAAGTTATAATCAACGTTACCTGGTTTTATAATGTAGTATTTAAGTACACCAGTATTGTTTTAAGATTAACTTTATTTTGTATTAAAAATATTTTTTTTTCAAGGATCCTTGTTTCGTTTATACCCAAGAGTTCATAGTTAATATTAAAATGAGATAAAAGTTAGGTTAGGTTACATTTCTTCTATGCGGTATAGCCGGATTTTTGCATCAAAATTTCAAACCGTATTCTGTAACTTTGACATAAAAACGTTACGCTTTCAAAGCCGTGAGCGCAGGTATTCGATCAGCGAAACGCAAGGCAGTCGATTTTGGTATTCTCGTTGCCATGCGAATCGTGTTCTGGATACGCGTTGAGCACATATTGGCAACAGCAGAGCTACCATCATCTGAATCCCCCAGCGGAAATTTAGTTCCAAATACTCCTATCCCCACGTTGATTTGGTTTTGGGAGCATCAGTATACCACGTATGGTCTTTTACATGCCGAGCAAACGTTTCTCTTCCAATATTTTTTTTATTGCTCACTACAGGAAGTTGAGGAGTGGAATTTTTGTTTTTGGTGTTCCAAGCCCTGACCTAAAAATACCCCAGTGCTGAATCCGTGAATGATCATTCTAATCATTGTCACATTGGCCTAACTACCGATGACAATGTGCAGTGATGTTATGTGTAGGATGACATCCATTGCTGCTGTTGAGCATGTTAACAGCATGCTTTCTCACAAGTTTGTGGGCAGTAAGCACTATTAAAAAATAAAGAAGATTAGATTCCTAGAGGTGGCTCTCGGCCTGATCCACTGCGACCTTCTTAGATCTATTCTGGTCCTCTTCTGATCTTTAGATTATATTCTCCTGAGACTGAACCCTCCATGTAGCTCCGTGGCAATGGCCTAACATTGCCTATTACCGAGAACCGCACATTTGCCAGGCTGCCGCACCGATGACATTAAATGTATTCTGTCGTTTCTTCTTCAGATTGGCAAAAAAACTTCGTCTGTCAGTCCCATCAGCTTTAGATGCCTATTCAGCTTACAATGCCCTGTTAGTAGACCCACTACAGCTTTGACTGTCTTTCTGTCCTTGCTTATCAGGTCTACAGTTGATTTTGGCGAATGTTCTACAATGAACTTTTTTGCCTGTCTCGCCCCTGGTGAGTTTCTCCACGATTCTAGAGATTTGTTGGCCACCCATCGTTCTGTGACCATTCCCGTGACCGCCTTTGCAACGCCGCAGAAGGGTTCCTGGGCCTATAAATGGCATTGATGAGCCTTGCTTGGCCCTTTCATCTGCCTTTTCGTTACCCTTGTGATCCTCGTGCCCTGGTATCCAGGCCAACGTAACAATGCTACGTCCGCCTCAAGTATTTAGAGCAGACACAGAGTCCCACGCTAGTCTAGAATTCTAGAATTGACATCTGCCCTCCGCCATCCGCGGAGCCGAGTACCTTTAGCGCAGAACGCACAGAACGAAAAGTGAAGAAGAGTACGACGTCTAGGGCTATTGTTATTCCCCCATTCCTTTTTTTTATCGTATGGTATTTTATGATACTATTTTTTTGAATTTTTCCGATTTTTTTCTTCATATTTCATAGGCTTTATATTTTATACAGTAGAAGAGTACTTAAGTATAATTTAATTTTTACTTTCTGCTTTCCGGTTTATTAATTTACTAAACTACCTTTTGTACAATCAACAATTTAACATCCATCAATCTTAATAAGCAAAAAACAAAGTTTCAAGGGTGAAATTATTAAACGAGAAACATGTTATCGTTCTCATCGTAAATTCGACAGAGATTATGGTAAGCTATTGAGGAAAATGCGGAATGTAGACAATAGTGAAATGGAAGAATGTGTGCAGTTAAAAGTGAAGGTTGAAATGTGAGTAGCAGCGTTTATTATTAAATAGGCAAATTATAGTTCGAACTCGATATGAGGATTTATCGATGATTTAACGTACCACGTATAAAATATTCTTCCCATACTTAATTAATTTCCTGTTTTTATTATTACATCAAAGATCTTATTTTTTAAACTGAATATATTATAATTACCAGTGCCGGACTTAGGCCTAGGCCAACTAGGCCCGGGCCTGGGGCGGCAGATTTTTAGGGGCGGCAAATTTTGAGCATACCAAAATATTTATCTTTTTTTTTAACTTTTATTTGTTCATAAAATATTTCGAATATTGCCTTAGCCGATTACATATTTATTTACTTAACTATTATTATTGTTTATAATATATAATTCACTAGGGTTATTTTTTACTGCATTGTACCATGCATCCAGATAATAAATACATAAATACCTCGAATATAAAAAAAATAAATTCAAAAACATTAAAAAAATTATCAAAAACGCGTTGGTCTGCACGAAATGAAGCTTGCCAATCACTATCTTTGTCTTCCAATGAAATAAAATCCACGTTGGAGTCAATTTCTGCAGACGATACCAAAAAGCCTAAAACCCAGTTATATGCTTCTAGTCTCCTTAAACAATTCAAAAGCCTAGAAATGGGTTTTATGGCGGTATTTTGGACAGATGTTTTAAATAGATTAGATGCGGTCAATAAAAAGCTTCAAATTGTGGATATTGATCTACAACTTGCTGCCGATTTATATAGCTCATTGGAATAATATTTTTCTTAGATTAGAAATCTAGATAATACTAAATCATTTGAGGAATATGAAAGAAGGGCCATAGAATTGTTCGGTGAGAAAGAATATGCGGCAGATAAAAAGAGAAAAGTGAAACGGAAACGACAATTTGATGAAACCAGTGATAATGAAACTCTATTTAACGCTAGGGACGATTTTAGGATAAATGTATTTAATGTTATTATTGATAAATTAATCCTTGAAATTTCCTACAGGAAAAGTTCCTACAATGACTTTTCTACCAAATTTGGTTTCTTTAGTGATTTATCTACTTTAAGTATTGACGACATTATCGATAAGTCCAGACATTTAATAACCTGTTATCCAAATGATTTATATGAGTCAATGCCTAATTAATTAATACATTTTCGTGAATTTATAAAATGCATTAAGTCAGCAAAACCATCTGCTAGAGAGCTTCTTAAAGTAATTTATGAAACAAACGCTCAAGACCTGTTTCCAAATACTTTCATAGCATTAAGAATCTTCACATGTACTTTTATTACTAACTGTTCTGCTGAACGCTCGTTTTCTGCATTGAAACGTATTAAAACTTATTTACGGTCCACTATGGAAACAGAACGTCTAAATCATTTGGCAGTTTTACATATAGAGTCCGATCTTTTAAAAACTATCAATTACGATGAAGTAATTGATAATTTTGCGAACAAAAAAGTACGTAGTATGCCTTTATAGGCATATAAGCAAACCTTATAGTTTTGTTGTTCGTTTGTTGTCATTTTATATGAATATTTTAATATTTATTTTATGTTCTGTGTTGATCTGTTCTGTCGGTCTATTCTGTTGTTGGTCCTGTATTCAAATAAATGTTTTTTATATCCGTCATTTTTTTTTATTAAAAAAAATGTTAAGGGGCGGCAATATTTTTTGGCCTGGGGCGGCAACTTCGCTAAGTCCGGTCCTGATAATTACTATTTATTTTTTTATCAGTTCGCTGGTAAAACAGTCTCAAGTACTGGTACAACTAGATGGGAGCTAAGCCCTCTAAAAAAGTAAAAAAAAAGTTAGCCCCCCCATTTTATATCATATAAATTGTGTAATGAGATTATAAGTTGATTTAGAGCATTTAAATAAAAGCTTGTTTTTAAAAATGTTTTTAAAAGCTTTTATTTAATTTGCAATGTAATAACTTATGTATGTATGTATGTATGTATGTATGTATGTATGTATGTATGTATGTATGTATGTATGTATGTATGTATGTATGTATGTATGTATGTATGTATGTATGTATGTATGTATGTATGTATGTATGTATGTATGTATGTATGTATGTATGTATGTATGTATGTATGTATGTATGTATGTATGTATGTATGTATGTATGTATGTATGTATGTATGTATGTATGTATGTATGTATGTATGTATGTATGTATGTATGTATGTATGTATGTATGTATATGTATGTCCCGCAGCTTTTGTATTGTTTTTGTCTCTGCCTAACACATTTGAATTGGCGGTATCGATTGTTTTTGTTAAACAGTAAAATTGTCACGTGATGTAATCTTTCGTGATTTATAGTTTTTTTTAGTTTTTTGTTTAATAAAAATTTAATTTTTCATAGATATTTGTTTAATGTTTTTTTTCCAGTTCACATCCCCAATAAGCCCCTGGGTATTCTTACGTAATTTACTGGCAGTCTCGTTGTGAAAGGAATTATTACAAGTATTTTATATTTGATTTTTTCCAGGTTACATGATTGGAAAACCCCAATTCCCCAATCCCGATTTCCAGTAATCAAAACGAAATTTGCTGTATTTCAAAAACGGCAAGAGTGGCTGGTAAAGGGGATTATAGCAGCAAAAGCAGGAACTTGTTTTGGCCATCCGGTTTTTATTGTGTTGCTATGTGCGACGTCACCAATCAGATTTAAACTTGCTGTATCTTAAAAACGGCAAGTGTTGCTGGGATGAAATTTAGAGCAGGATGCAACAGGATGCAGCAGCGCAAGCAGGAACCAGTTTTGACGATCCTGCTTCTCATGTGTTGTCAACTGGGAAGTCAGCAACCAAAATAAAAGTAACTATAGCTCAAAATTGGTAGGTGTGGCTGGGTTGGGATTTAAAGCAGGATAAAGCAGGATTGTAGCAGCCCCAGCAGGATCGTATTTTATAATTCCTGCTTTTAATGAGTTGCCAACTTCCCCGATCTCCCCATTTAGCGTCTTGGGCTCCTCTGCTACACGTTCTGATGGCAATTTATGTAGTTGTTCTGCTCTTCGCTGTTTCAATTTTATTATACCGTTGATTTTTTGTGACATTAAAATTTATCGATTTGCATAAAACTTAAACCGTTTTATTTAGTGTTAGATTTAACGACGTGTTTTGTATTTAATCCTTATACTAAAATATATCATTGGCTGATTCCATATAACCTTTGCAATGTCTATTAATATTCTCTTTTATAGGTTTTCACTGAAGATATATT